ATTTTATTATTATTATTATTATTATTATTATTATTGTTGTTGTTTCATTTATAAAAACTTGAAATTTTTCAATTAATAATAATAATAATAATCATTTTAAAATTCTTAATATTAATATTATTTTAGACTCTAGAGTTATTCAGGCAAGACTGAGAATCTGAGTATGTATAAGTACACATCACATGTGTATGTATAATATAATATAATATTAAATATAACAAGACAACTGATGTACTTGGTATTATATTGTAAAATATAATAATAGCAACAAGTAATGTTACATTAATGTTTGAGTACAATACAATGAACAAAAGGTCTCTGCTGGATCCAGAGACTGAACTTTAACACATTCAGCCGGACAGCGGCTCTATGAGTGGCACTAGCTTGACTAAAACTTTTACCAACGCGGTACCATGCCACACATGAATCACACTCGAATGCGGAGATGGAGAACACTGTGGTAGATGGAGATTGTAAAATCAACCAAGAATCAACTGGATGTATGTATATATAAGTATAATGCTGGCGATACCAGACTTCTCAGCCTACTCTCATACTCAAGTAGTTTTATATTTTAAGTATCTGCTGCTACTTGGAGAAAGGGAGACTCTACTCCATGGTAATGTGTATGCTGATCGCAGATATTCTGTCGAATGTATTTTAATGTCACTGCTTTTGTGACCCGGTAATGCAGTGAGGTTTAGAAAATTTTAAGGAAATTTTATTATGGATTTTATAGTTGATAGTTTGTATATTTATTTGCTGGATACTATTGAAAGTTATGAATAAGAATTATTGATACTACACAATAGTCGTGTCTGTTGGGTTTATTTATATGTATTTGTAGTCATTGATATCAATTTTATTTGGGATGATGATAAAAATATGTAAATATTGAAGATAAATATTTTGTCGTGATCTATAAATTTTTTTTTTGTTATGTAAGTTATTGGTCAGGGTTTATTATTATTATTATTATTATTATTATTATTATTCATCATTTTTAATTTTTTATTTTTGTATAATAATTTTATTGACAATTTTGATTTCTTCATCCATTTTTTTTTCAGTCCAATAATAATAATAATAATAATAATAATAATATCAAATTTTTTAAAATTATTATTGTTATTTCTTCAGTGCTAAAAATTTGAAAATTTACATTAATAATAATAAAAAAAAATAATAATGATAATAATAATAATTTAAAAAATGTTGACATTATTATTAGATGCTGGACACTTTGGGGAACCCTGAGTCTTCTGGCGCGTCGGGACAGTGGATGGACCCCCAGCAGAATTTCCCTTTCAGCATGCATGACTCTGGGTCTAGACCAAGAGGGCCCCAGATGATGAACTACCACTCGCCCAGGTTCAATAATGGGTTCGGTATGCGAGGACTTCCTCCTCCTCCACCTCCTCCTCCCGGGATCATCAACATGTCGCTCAGACCCCTTGTTCCTGGACTCACCAGCGGCTCCGGGTCTAATTCAGGGAACAGTTCCGGGAACAGGCTACCGGCCATGGACTATGTTGAAGGTTTCGGAAAACCTGGATGTGTTCTCAGCTTGGAGAATGTTCCTTTCAAGGCGGATATCAATGAGATTATTGAATTCTTTGGAGACTTTGATATTAAGCGCGAGCATGTCATCAGGCGCTACAACGAACGCGGAATGCCCACTGGAGACGCCAGGGTCGCTTTTTCTTCACCCAGTGAAGCTCAACGCGCTCTTAGAGAACTGAGGAATTGCAAAGTTCGCGATAGGACTATCTACATGAAGCTGGCGTAAAATAATTAACTTAATTTATTTCTTTGCCAATTTTTTTATTTTTTTGATTAATAATTTTATTTAAGATAGCTTTAGTCATAAGGTAAAAAATCCAGTTATTGACACTGGCCTAGTTGTTTGACACTAGCAATTTTATTCTAATTAAAAAAATAAAATGGGTGGGGAGCATCTCTACAGAGAATTTATCTACATTTTATAATCCTTCAGGAGAAATCTTTATTTTAAAAAACTCTCAGTATAAAATTCTACAATGAAAAAAAATCAATTTCAAAAATCCTTCTTTTAAAAATCTCTCAGGAAACAATTGATTACAATGAAACTTTTTTAAATCGTAAAACTTTCAGCTCGATATTTTGCTATACAGTAAAAAATTTTGCGTCAAAAAATTTTGTATTAAAAATTTTTATGTTAAATTTACACATAAAAGTGTTAAATATTTAACATAAAAATTTTTAACACTAATTTTTTTGACGCAATGACGTAAAATTTTTTACTGTGTAAATTCATGTGTATTCTTTTTTTATTAAAATAATCAAAGATATAAAATTTTTTGGGACCTCCAAATGTGATCGTCTGATGAAAACTAGATTTAAAAAATATTTTATAGATGTTCTAATTATTAATAATTACAACTTTATATTTTTTATTATTTTAATAAAAAAATACACATGAATTTAGCAAAATATCGAGCTTTTGTTTCTGATAGATGTATCGCCTGAAAGTTTTACGATATAAAGAAGTTCGATTGTTTCCTGAAAGATTTTCAAAAGAATGATTTTTTAAATTGATTTTTTTTTTCATTGTAGAGTTTTTAAAAATAAAGATTTCTCCTGAGGAATTATAAAATGTAGATAAATTCTCTGTAGAGATGCTCCCCACCCATTTTATTTTTTTAATTAGAATAAAATTGCTAGTGTCAAACAACTAGGCCAGTGTCAATAACTGGATTTTTTACCTTATGACTAAAGCTATCTTAAATAAAATTATTAATCAAAAAAATAAAAAAATTGGCAAAGAAATAAATTAAGTTAATTATTTTACGCCAGCTTCATGTAGATAGTCCTATCGCGAACTTTGCAATTCCTCAGTTCTCTAAGAGCGCGTTGAGCTTCACTGGGTGAAGAAAAAGCGACCCTGGCGTCTCCAGTGGGCATTCCGCGTTCGTTGTAGCGCCTGATGACATGCTCGCGCTTAATATCAAAGTCTCCAAAGAATTCAATAATCTCATTGATATCCGCCTTGAAAGGAACATTCTCCAAGCTGAGAACACATCCAGGTTTTCCGAAACCTTCAACATAGTCCATGGCCGGTAGCCTGTTCCCGGAACTGTTCCCTGAATTAGACCCGGAGCCGCTGGTGAGTCCAGGAACAAGGGGTCTGAGCGACATGTTGATGATCCCGGGAGGAGGAGGTGGAGGAGGAGGAAGTCCTCGCATACCGAACCCATTATTGAACCTGGGCGAGTGGTAGTTCATCATCTGGGGCCCTCTTGGTCTAGACCCAGAGTCATGCATGCTGAAAGGGAAATTCTGCTGGGGGTCCATCCACTGTCCCGACGCGCCAGAAGACTCAGGGTTCCCCAAAGTGTCCAGCATCTTGTGTCTTGAAACCAACTCCACAGTCGGGAAACTCTTCCCCAGGGGAAGACCATTCTTAGCTAGGGCTCTAATCGCCTCCTCGGGCGCGTCGAACTCGCAGAAGCACTCGCCCATAGGTGTCCCGTGCTTGTTCACCATCATGTGGATCCTCCTAGGAACTATTCCAATGTCCGAGAAGAAATCCAAAATATCCCGATCTCCGGTCTGGAACGGAAGCCCACGAATGATAATACAATCCGGAGTGTTGCCGCTGTCTGTATTAGAACTATTATTGCTAAGAGTTTCTTGCTCGTGGATCCTCTTCGCTTTAACAAACTTATCCTCTGGAATACTAATCGCAGTGATGGGAATCGGCCCGATTTTAAGCGACGAAGCCAGCGCAGCTTTAGCATCCTCGACTCTAGAGAACTGTACGAAGGCTCCAACCTGGACAGAATCGCTCTTAGACGACGTGGACAATAACGCCGTGGAAGAAGTTATAAACAAGTCATTAATCTTCCAGTCTTGGAACATTTTAGCGATGTCCATTTCTTTGGCGAAGGACGGCAGTTCATTTATAAAAACACACGAGGAGTTTTGAGTATCTGGTGGTAAGTCTTCAACACTGCTATTACTGTTATTGTTAATATTAATATTACTACTACTACTACTATTGATCAAATTATTACTGCTATTATTACTAGGCCCGTCGCGCTCAGGGTTATAAGAGTCGACGGCCTTGTCAAAAATACTCTCATCAAGCGAGCAGATTTCCACTTCAGAGCCTCTTATGAACCTCGGAGTGTTCATCGCTAGCTCTTTGCCCTCCGGCTTGCTGAACTTTATATAAGCTATGCCGACTCTGTTCCCGTGAGTGTCGTTTATCAGCTTGAGCCCGTCTTTTCGGATAAAAATACCCTGGAACGCGTGACGGATGTCGCTGTAAGACGCGTTTAGCGGCATGTTCCTTACTTCAATGCAGTTCCCCCCTTTGCCGTCAAATCTTCCATTGTTCCCGAGGTTGGAACGATCGCGTTCCGAAGGGTAGGGGTCGCTGTAGTTAGAGGATTGGAAAGCGTGGGGGTTACGCCGTCCGTCTAGTTCCTGCATTTTGGTCATCAAGGAAAGGTTGGCGCTGTTATTTCTAAGGTTATTTCTATAATTATTGCTATTATTATAGTCCCTAGGGTTATTATTAGAACTAGGATTAGAATTATTGTTGTTATTATTATTATTATTATTATTAGGATTATTAGAATTATTAGCAGTGTTATTACTACTGTTACTGAAATTTTCAGAGCCAAAATTACCCGGTGGACGTGGCGGGAATCTCATTTCATTAAGACGAGGCAATTCGTTGCCTCCAGGTGAAGGATTTCCTGGCCAGGAGTGTCTTTCGCGATTAATCGCCGCAATATTAGAATTATTAATGCCAGGCATGTTAAGATTGAGACCATTGTTAAGAGGAAATTGTCCGGGCATGAGCGGAGGCGGACAAACTCCGGGAACAGCGGGGAATCCCAGTGCCCGGGACTCGGAATCTTGATGAGGAATCGCCGCAATTCCAGCGCCGAGAATTCCAGGCGCGAGCATCATCTGCATCTGGGTTTGGGGAGGAACTTCCCAGATGCCGTTCTCGATGGTCGGGTGCTGTCTCTTGGAGTTTTTACCAAGCATGGCCTTGTCCTTGGAGAACTGGCCCACGCAGACGACGTCACTGGTGTCGTCGTTATCCTGCTGGGAGTCCTTGTTCCTGCGGTCGCTGTAGCGCTTGCTGTCGCGGTCACGATCGCGATCGCGGGACCTGGTGCGGTCCCGCGATCTTGAGTTGTCTCTGCGACGCCTGCTTCCGCGGTCTCGCCGGTCGCGATCGCGGTCACGGGACCGGGAACGATCGCGGCGACGGCGATCCCGGTTGCGGTCCCTTCCGCGGTCTCTGTCGCGGGAGCGAGACCGGTCTCGGGACCTGGAACGATCGCGGCGGTCTTTACGGTCCTTGGAATCTTCCTCTTTTTTGACTTCTTGGGGAGGCTTGATTTGGAGCTGGTGCTGAGGCTGCATGTGCTGGTTCATTACTGGGACTCCTGGGACTGGGACTGAGTTCTGCATGAACGACTGCAAGGACAGAGTCTGCTGACGAGCTGTCTCGATTACTTTCTGCATTTCTGTTCGAGAACTCAAGAGTAATTTTATCTTCATCTCCTTTATTTTGCCGCCGTCGTGCATCATCGCTTGACGCGCATCTTCGTCGGTGCTAAATTTTAGAGAAAAATAAAATATACCACGATGCAGTAACTTTCTTTTTTTTAATATTGATCATGGTGACCACAGATTTTTTTTTGAGGGGATTTAGACAGTGATAATTGGTAAAATATGAATTAAACTTGTTTTTATCATCATCAGCTGGCTCTCTGCTTCCATACTCATATCTCTGGATAGTAATAATTTTCTATAATTTTTTTTTTATAATGATCCTAATAGTATGTATAACTTAAATTTAATTTATTCAAGTGATTTATTATTAACTTAATTGATTAAAATTTATTTAATTTTAGTTTATAAACACAGAAAAAAAAATAACGAATCAAGTAAATAATTTTGAAGAACCAAGTCTTGATTTAAGTTTAAAAATTTTTAAATAAAAAAATTTTTCTTAATTTAAATAAATTTTATATAATTAAATAATTTTTTTCTTAATTGCATTGTTTTTTTACTGTCTAAATATTAAAAAATTTTAATCTATAAGGTAAAAGACCCAGTTATTGACACTGGCCTAGTCGTTTGACACTTGCAATTTTATTGTAATTAAAAAAATAAAATGTTCTCAAAAAACCAATTATCTTAAGTTTATAATTCAAAAATTATGTTCATTAGTTTATCAGAGTAGATTTATTTTTTTTAATTAAAATAAAATTACAAGTGTTTATAAATAGATCAGTGTCAATAACTGGGTCTTTTACCTTACTAATATTGTAAAGAGGAAAGATTTGATTTTTTGCATTGAATAGACTTCGAAATTACTGAACCGATTTGAAAAATTCTTTCACTATTGGGAAGATACACTATCCCCAGATGACGCAGGCTATATCATATTACAATTTCCCTGCTGTAAGCACAGCTTTATAAGCAGTTATCTAAATAAATAAAAAAAGTATTGTATTACAATTAATGTTGAAATTTTTGTTAAATACCCGTGCAAAGCCGGGGTGGACTGCTAGTCAATGATATAATTTATTAAAAATTGATTTTTCTATCAATTATTTAATTTATTAACTGAAAAAATTTTTCTTGTTGATCTGAAGAGAAAAATTTTTAAACTAAAAAATTTTTATTGGTTTAAGTGAATTTTACTTAATTCAAGAATTTTTTCAGGACAATATTCTTCAAAATTATTTTCTTAGTTCAAGAATTTTTTTCTTGATTCAAGTTAATTTTTTTTTCAGTGTAGAATGATTAAGAAAAAATTTTTTATAGCTCTGCCAATATTATTAATTAATTATAAATAATTTTATTGAGTAATCCTGTAATTAGCTTATGCCTTCTGGTTCTTAAAAAATGAAAAATAAAATAAAAAAAAATTCGCAATTAAATTTTATGAATAAAAATTTTCCTTGATGATAATTTTCCCAACGGCGATTACGACCAAGATTTGTGATTATAATGTGGCCACCATGGTATTACCAAATAATTATTATTATAAGAGAGCAAATAATAGAAAAGTATAACTTAATTTATAAAAAAGTAGGAGCAGCTTTGATAAAAATAATTGTGTGGATTGTTGAGAGACAAAACAACTTTACCTGAACGCAATAAAAGCATCGCCCAATTCGCCGCCGACAATGTGAACGCCGCCTTCGGGAATGCTGAGCCCGCGGAAGAATTGACGAATGTCCAGTGCATTCGCAGACCACGCCAGATTTTGCAGCCTGATAATAACGCTCATTTTTCAGCTTATGTGTGACTAATTACAGATACGCACACATAAACACGATTATTTGATATCTGGAACCGAAGGGAAGTCAAGAACGAGTTAATTAATTGTCAGGGATTTTACCTAGACTTTTTATATCTTAGATTTATTGATAATTATTATTATAATAACTATTGCTATTTCTCTGATATACTGTTGAAATGCTTCTAAGATAAAAATTTAACGGCTTAAGACGGTCATAGTGGTGAATAAATTCGATCTTAAACTAAAAAAGCTTATTTAAAATTATTTTAAAGATTCCTCTGTTTGCAGACGAACCAAGTGTCAATTGAAGTAATTGCAACTAACGTCGAGACTTTTTTCAGCAGCAATAAATAATTATCCAGCAGCAAGATCACCAGCAATCGAGAAATCATAAAAAGATTTCAGAGTCAACAAGTGTTCAGTTCTTCACACAGAAGAAATTTTTAAAAGGAAATACTTATATATTAAATAATTCCGGTAATAAAAATTTCAGCTTGGATTATTTAAATAAAATATTGTAAAGCATAGATAAGAATATATTTGTGTGAAAGATTATTGTTTCCGTCCTCAGGCACGCTGAATCTCCGCCGATGAGTTACTGCTCCATAAAATACCGCCGCTATTTTATTAGACAATCACAAGTATTAATAACGATCATGTCAGAACGATTAGATGGATTCAAGTGCTGATTAGATAAGAGCTTCAATGCTGGTACACATTGATACTTAGTTTATGATTAATAGCCAACTCATCTCACACTCCACTCTCATTCAATTTGTATCGCATTAGAAATTTTTTTTTGAGTAAATAAAGGTGCTAAGTTTTATTTATATTTTAATAAAAATCATCGATTTTTTTTTATCCTGAAAATTTAAATTATTAATTTTTAAATAATTAAAATACAACAAACTTGTGTTTTTAAAATCACACTGTGCTTAATTATTTCAAGAAGAATAGACTGAATAATTATAAGTACTGTTATCAGGTAGTTTTTTTTAATTAAATATCGATTAATTAAAAAAAAAAAAACTTGATAACAGTTATGAATAAAAAAATGAGAGCTGGTTCTCAGTTACTTAAAATAAATTTTTTTTTTCATTTTAGCAGAGTTAATGTTTAATTTTAAAATCACTTATCCGTAAGATGTTTTCTTATCAAATAGTTTTTAGTGATATTTATTCAACGAAATATAAATCAATAGACCGAATCCAAATACTGTTATCAAGTTAATTTTTTCGGTGTAAATTGTAGGATAGAATATAAAATCAGCTTGGTAACAGTATTTAAACGTTTGATAATAACTAAAAAGTCAGAGCTTACAGTTCACAGTTGATTAGTATTTTTAATAAAAAATAAGCTGATCAATAAACCTCTCAAATCTTATTAGATACAGAGAGATTAACAGTAAGTTTTAGCCGGCTAGATTATTTATTTAAATCTCCGGGAATGGTTTTAAGTCAAAAATTACCAACAAATATATCCCGCACAAAAATATCCCAAACAAAATAATTCCAAGACAAATATCCCGTGTGGAGAAATATATATGCCGTATATATTTACGCAAAAAAAAATATTTCAACATATATTTTTCACTTAGATGCTGACATACATGCCAAAATATATGTAGACATATGTGATTCCGTGAACCTTTTTGGTGGCTCCTTCCAGACTTTTCGCTCTAATCTCAAGAAACATATATTGCAATATTATTAACACCGTTGAAAAATTTTTTTCTTAATTCGTTTTTTAAAATATTGAACTTTTTTCTTTCTTTTTAATTTTCTCCAGGCATCGCCAAATAAACTTATCTGTGTATAATTTTCGAGCCAAAATTCTCAGATTTAAAAATTTATAATTAATATCTTATAATTTAAAGAACGTACTGATTATTTTATAATGCCGATTGGCGTCAAATAAATAAATAAATAAATATATGTAAGCATACACTGAAAAAAAAATTTCTTAGTTTAAGAATTTTTTTACTCAAATCAAGAAAGTGAAATTCTTCAAAATTATTTCCTTGATTCAAAGTAAATTTTTTTCTGTGTATCTCTAGACATATATATTGCATTTATATGCTCGCATATATGTGAACATATATTCTATTATATATTGCGGAATATAAGTTTGCATATCCTTGAATAAAAAAAAGTATTGAAAAGTATTGGATTGACTAGAAAACCCAATACTTTTTTTTAAATATATATTCAACTAAAAAAAAAATATATGTGAAAATATATATTCGCATATATTTTTCCATACGGGATATCGCCTTCATATAAATTTCCCTTGATAAAATATCCCGCCATACAAAATTATCACAATACAATTTATTCGACATTAGACCAACACATAAGCTTGTTACCGTGTTGCGCTCTTTTTTCATGGTTTTTGTGTATGTTTATTCAATATTAGTTTATTACTCAAATTTTTTTCTTACAAATTTATAACATTTCCTTTTGTTATTTTTATTTTTTTATGTTTACCTACTCGAGTAATTATAAAAGGATTGATGCAATCCGAATGTTATTTAAATTTTTTTTATTGGCTATTTTATCATTACAAAAGTAATTTTAAGAAAAATTACTTTGTAAAGATTATTAACCCTTTTAATGGCTACAGCTGTTGGGTTTGGTTTATAAATAAATAAATAAATATTAGACCAACTAACAAGTATATACTATACTTACACTGTTCATTTTATATATTTTTGTCAAAGGAATAATTCTGCCATAAGAGATTTTTGTTTTGGGATATCTTTTCAATGTGATATATTTACTGGGATATTCAAGTGTATGAACTTGATAAAAAATGTTATTCAGATATTTATTATACTTCGAGGAGATAATCAATTAAAATCTTCCACTCTCGGCTCGGTAACTTATTACTTACCTCAGGATAAATAAAACTAAAACTTCAAAAGATAAAATAAATGTTAAGAAAAAACAAAAGACAGCTTAGTATTGTAATAAAAAATAAAAAATAAAATAAGTGAATAATAAAAATATTGTCAATGATGAGAAACTAATTAAAATAAGTACTTATATATGAATTTGTTTTATTACATTACTTTGAATCGAATTACCTTAACAGGAACTTGAGAGACAAATATCTGGACTCTGGATACCGGTGCAGTAAAACAACGTCGCTTATAATTATTTCGCAGGGTTTGTTCAATTAAAATTTTATTTTCAATTGCGAAACGAAAAAATACGTAATCGATTTGCAGTAAATTCAGTAAATTCGATCTTCATAAGTGCACTCCAACATTATTGTGGTCATGTTGTGTCAATCAGCTTAAATATCAGAAAAACACATCCACTGCTGCCTAATTATCCTGCAACACAATCATTTTTGTTTTTGTTTCCGGCGTTGATTCTTTCTGATGAACTTTTATTCTCGTTCAATTAATGCAAATTAAATTTATATAGATTTTTTTTTATTTTTTATTGCTGATCATTTTTTTTTCTTTTTTGAACACTCATTTTTAAAAATAATTACATCCCTCCCTTTTTGCTCACACACATACACACATTTATTTAATTATTTTATTTTAATTAATATTCAAAATTTTATTTTTTTTTTATTAAATATATATATGTATATGAATATGTATACACATATTATATTATATTATATAAAATATAGGGCGATAAAAATATAAAAAGAAATTTACTGTAAATAATCGTCGCAAGTAGGTTCAAAATGTAATAATTAATTATTTAATTTAAAAAAAAAAAAACATGCGAGACGATTTTATTAAAATAATTGTGTTTTGAAACAATTATTCATTGAAGATTGTGTAAATATCATAAATGGTCGCCATTACCAGAAAGTATTTCCATGTTATATATCTATTAGTATATATAGATATATGTAACGTGTTATATCGAATAAGAAAGACGTAGATATATGTATGTATAGTAATGATAAATTACTATATTAATTTTGTTCCTTAAAAAATAGCAAACTCACCAAACTAACTCTAAAAATGATGCTGTTTAATATATTTATATGTATATATATTTTAATTTATTCACACGTGCATACTGTAAATTAAATAGCTGTCCTTTAAATGTAAAAACGACGCTGTATATTATTATGTTATAGAATGTGACTACAAAATGCTTGACGCCTGAACACACGAACGATAATGTCGATGATACAAAATGGCGGTTCTTTAGTTTAGCTGCGCGTCAATTATTTACGCAGATATCGATGCGCGCTTATCGATTTTTCTGTTTTCGCGCCATCTGGTGGATTTTTAATTTGCGGGAAAATTTAAATGTATAAATACTGTCAGAGTCGATTTAATTTTTTTAATAAAATAAAAAAATTATTAATTAAATATTAATAATTGACATCTTTAAATTTTTAAATAATTAAAATATGGTACTAAAGTTCGCCGACGATTTAAAATTTTTTATTTTTTTTAAATAATTAAATTAGAACAAAAGAGTATGTATTTTTTTTAAATTGCACTCAGTTTTTCAAGTTTTTTACAAATGAATTTTATTTTTTTGTAATAATTTTTTAATAAAAAAAACTTATATAAATTTTTAGATGCCGGTCAACTTAATTTTTATATTAAAATGACATTAAAGTTAGCAGTCACTGGAGAATTTTTTAATAAAAAAATTTGTTCTAAAAAATTATTTAAAAAAAAATTACATTTTTAATTTTTTAAAATTTCTACATGTCAATTTTTTTATATTTTTTTTGCCATATTTTATTTGTTAAAAAAAATTCTAAAATTATTAAATTTATCAATAATAATATAGCCGAAAATTTTGACTTTTTAATTTGGCTTAATTTATTAAATTATAACTAAAAAATATTTTTTAAAAATTGCACTTATAATTTTTGAAGATATTAACGAATAAAAAATTTATTTTTTTGTAATAATTCTTTAATAAAAAAATCAATAACATTAAAGTTAGCAATCGCTTGACAATTTTTTAATTTTTTTTAATCAAAATTTGTTCTAA